TTAGCCTGCTACTCGCTCGGTACTTGTACTGACCCCTTCGGGGGGGGGGGGGGGGGGGGGGGGGGGGCACCATTTCAGGTTGAAGCTAGGGCTTGCTACCTACAGCTTTCTACGGATGACATCAAATCAAGGAAGACGTGGTTCGTGCTTCTTCGTTTTCTTTCAAATTACCAAACATTGCTCATGGATACTTTTATTTATTATAAACTACTTTTGGGCTTGCATGCCCATGTTATTGGCCGAATGTGGCCTATGAATTACCGCTGAATATTTTCGCTATTCAATGGTTTAATTGTGATGTTTGTTATGTACGTTTACTACTGAGTATGGATGGATTGTTTTCTCGAACGCCTTGTATGATTAAGTGAGGTTGACATGCGGGTGACGTCACTCGATTATACGGCAGTTGTACACGCGCTTAGATTGCGGTTTGGGGCATGACAATTAAGTGGTATCAGAGCCATCAGAGATTTCTGTGTGAGAATCTCCAAATACCTCAAGGAGGCTAGAGCTTTGGGGTGCAGGTCCTTCGACGGCACCAGCGATATTACCGTTGCCGCCGTTTGGATTAAGAAGGTGAAAGATGCATCGAGAGACATGCAAATAACACCTGACGTGAAGTTGACAGTTGCTTCACGTTTGCTTGAGGGGATAGCTTCTACATGGTGGGAGAGCGTGGAAGGAAAGTACCGTGGGAACGGGTGGAGAATGCAAAAATAGGCGGCAGATACGGATCCCCCGCATGGCATCTTAAGTCCAAACACACGGTGGAGTATGCAAAAATAGGCGGCGGAACGGGGAAGCAAACTCAAATATCGAGATTTGCAAATAACCAACAACCTTTTGGTAATTTCTCATACAATGATGCACAAAATTTGACTGGTATGGCTAACTTATTTGTTGAAGAAAATTTTCCTTATTTGTTTTCTGAAAGTCTTGCTTTTCGTGATTATGCACAAACTTGTTTAAATCCTCAATTTAGATGTTATAGTCGCAAAACGGTTAAAAAAGAAATTTCAAGGCTTTATGGTGCGGAAAAGGTAAGGTTACAAAATTATTTTGCAAACTTTGATGGGCGTGTTACTGTATGTTCTGACATATGGGAGGATAGTTATCATAATTTACATTATTTTGGTCTGACTGTACATTATATTGATAATGATTGGAATATGCATAAACGGTTCTTGCTTTTCGTGAATTTAATGATCATCACACCGCTGAACATATTTATATTTTGATTGAGCGTATTTTAATTGAGTATAATTTAATTGATAACGTGTTTGCTATTGGTTTTGATGAGTAGATTTTTTCATCAACGATGTGCATGTCATGTTATAAATTTATGTGTGCAAGATGGTCTAAAAGCGTTAGGAGCATCTTTGAAGGTAGTCAAGGTGGAGATTAGACGTATTTGGGGTAATGGTCAACTTAGAAAAAAATGGCATGATTATTTGATAGAAAGAGGTGAGAAATATGTGGTTTTTCCTAAAGATTTGTCTATTCGTTGGAATAGTACTTATAAGTTAATTGCAGTTCTTCTTAGATATAAACAACATTTTCCTGCTTTTATGAAACAATATGATAACTATATTATAAACTCGCCTGAGATCGACACCTGCGAAAAAATTTGTAATGCTTTGGTATATTTTAATAATGCAACTGAAACTTTTAGTCATGTTTATAAACTTATCTCAAACCAATTTATTCGTGAAACTGTTAATCTCGCCGGTGCTTTTTCAAATTTTGAGAATGCCGATTATGTGAGTTATTTTGTTGGTTTTATGAAGGAAAAGTTTTTAAAATATTATTTACATATTCTGCATATTTATGGTATTGCATTTGTTCTCGATCCTCGTTTTAGACTTGGTCTTTAGAATAATGTTTGAATTATTATTATGCTCCTTTTTTTGGTTCAATGCCAATGTATGAAGAGAACTCAATTGATCAGAAAAAAGAATACAACGAGGTTAGTGATATATTCTATGCATTATTTAATGAGTTTCATGCACAATCTGGCAATGCGCCCCCTCCCTCGACACAAACCTATTCATCTAAAGGAAAATCAATTTTGAAATCTACATTTGCCAATCTTATTAAAAAAACTAAAGCAACACCCGCTACTCAACAAAGCACAATTCATGAGATTTCTTTGTATTTAACATATGATGTTGATTTTGAAGAAGATGATGACTTTGATGTTCTAAACTGGTGGAAGGGAAAAGAAAGAATGTTTCCGGTTTTAGCAAAGATGGCTAAGCAAGTGCTATCAATGTCGGTTTCAACAGTTGCCGTCGAACAAGAATTTAGTTCGGCCGACAATGTTCTAACGCAATGTAGAACGAGGTTGAGCGCAGAATCTCTTGAGATGCTTATATGCTACCACGATTGGTTGAAGGCGGCCCGTAGAGCTCAATAAGTTGACATCACCCCATCCCAACACTTTATGGATGAATCTACAACCGAGGGTGGCTCTACCTATTACGGAAATTCCGATTGATTAATATTTCATGTTTTAACTTTACCTTCAATTGTAACTTGTAAACTTGTAGTTCATATTTCAAATAAATATACGTTCATTTTTTTATATGTAGCATTTTTTATTGAATTCATAAAATTAATTAATTAATTTTACATTATGTAATTTATTCAAACTAAAATAAACAAAAAAAAAATTGAAATCAAATGCACCAAACGGCTATATAGCCGTTGGGACTTGGGCACTTTGGTTGTTTGAAATTTGAATCAATAGAGCCATGGGGTGGGGGTGGGGTGGGTGGTGGGGGTACAAAAATTTCTATAAATACTCTTATTTTTTGACATTTTATACACATCTTCTCCAGTATCCAATCTCCAATCTCCAATCTCCATCTTCATCTCCATATATTCTAGTATTTGAAGAATTATTATATCTACCATTTTAAGATAGAAAGTCAATATGTCGTTATACGGTATAATTTTGATACACAGAAGGACCCGAGGACCGGGATGTGGTACGCAACTTGCAAATGGTGCGGAAAAAAGTGTAGCATGGGGGTTTCACGCGGATACGGGATGGCAAGGAAGCATATTAAGTCATGTGACAAAGCCAAAAGTCCGGGAGGTCCGGGAAGTTCCGATTGACTACAAAATGTATTTCATATTGTTTTTTTTTTCTCAATTGTCAAATGTAGTTCCAATTTCATTTCAAATAAATGAACATGAAGTTTGTTTTTAATACTTGTATAAAACTATAAAGTATAAATTATAAAAAAATGGATTTAACCGACCTGGCCCGGCCCGGCGGGTGGCCCGACCCGTGACCCGGGCGGGTGGCCCGGCCCGAACCAGAACCGCCTGTACCTCGGGCCGGTCCCGGGCCCACCATTCACAAACCGGTGACCCGACCGGGCCTAGGCCTGGCACGGGACTGACCCGGCCCGAATCCATGCCTAGTTTGGATGAATTACACACGAACTATATGCGGAGAAATTAACAAGGCTTGTGATGCTTATGGGAAATCTAGATCAATCATCTCGGTTGTGTAAGCTTGCACCCGGGTTGGCCTGGTCTCGATTCTGGGCTGAGACGGTTCGATCCTTGCCAAATTTCGGTGAAGACCGGCTCTTAACCGGCTATTTCCAGTTATGGGCCGATTCTAGGTACTCGGCCGGTCCAGTCCCGATTTCGAATCTGGTTCCGTTATTATTTTTTTTTCGGTTCCATTATTTTTTTTGTTTATTCCGGTTCCAAGGGTTTAGGGTTTAGATCTATTCAAAATATTAATGTGGGGATATAGTGTGTGGGCCACCCATTTGAAACGTGGTGATATTATTACGATGGATGGTTTTCACCGATGGGCAATTTTATGTTGATGTATCTAGAGTCTCGAATGCATTTGGTTTAAAATTTCTTATATGTGAAGACAATAATAGTTGATCGACAAACTCCACAGTAAACGTATGCACAAAAAAATCTTTATCAATTTGTAATGTTACATTTTTTCTGAAATAAAATTGAGAGAGTAACTTTTTAATTCAAACAAAAGATGAACATTATCCATTAATTTAGAAAAATAAGTAAATTTCTATCAAATAAAATAAAAAGGCTTTTCTATCCCCATGCAACGCGTGGGTAAAAAACTAGTATAATGCTAAACCAATTGTATGTGCATTAAACGAAGAACGGCTGAAAATATATTCACTTGTCTTTGTGTAATATTTAATTCAAATATTCAATGTGTATGAAAATATGAAATATTTAGAAAGTACACACAAAATTCTTTTACGTATGTTGTTTATAGTTGAATCAGTTGTAATAAAAAACTATGTGACATCAACGTAAACGCATAAAACTAACTTTGTAAGCATACAACAACAACATCCAAGTTCAAGTTTCAAAAAAAAATTGACGTAAGCTAATATGAATCAATACATGAGATTCAAATGTTAGGCGAACAACAAAATGCATGTTGCAATATTTTATTTAAACTCTGAATATAAAACAAAAGTTGCCCTATAGGCGCAAAAATCGTATGAAATTAAAAAAAAAGTATTTTTTCCTAAATCCTAAAGATGAGTAATCTACTATTGAAAAACATTTTCAATTATGTCATTAATTTCACGATGATAGTAATTTAATCCAATTTAAAGAAAACCACATTTCTACTTTGAAGTTTGAAATTTGCATTACTCGTACAGTCCTACACTCCTAGTCTCCTACTAGTGCAGGAAATTTCTCAACATCAAATTACACAAATTGACAAATGATATACTATCTTTAAGGTCTTTCAACTCTTCAGTTCAAAAAAAAACTCTTCAGTTCATTCTAAAATCTGTCTTGATCATCCATCTAAACACCACCAACTTGTTATTTTTCTCAATCTACACTTACGATCTTATGAATTCTACTGTTCTAGAAAACAATTGATCATGAGAATCTGAATACAAGTACCGAAGTACATAAGAGAATCTAGAAGAAATTTATAGTTTTCACTTTTTATTAACATCAATGCTTCAGAACTGATACTATAATATGCGAGAAAGGATAGCCAAAAAAATCAACACCAATGCTTTTAATAAATGACCTTAGTAACCATAGTGCATATTGAAGATGAAGCATATTGTTTGTTTTTAGTGTTGCACACCATTCATGCCAAGCAAAACATCAATTTGAGCAAAGGGGGAAAGGGAGCAAAAAAATCTAGAAAATGAGTTATTTGGTAGAAGTAATTATACATTTATGTAACAATATCACAACTCTTCAGCATTGTTCAGGAACATAAAGAAATGTTGTTGTGAGAATATATTCAACATCTGCTCTTATTAGATGTCAGCATCCAGAAAATTAGTAGATAGTGATACCTGCCACAAAAAATAGAGCACACCATTTATGCATTTCAACCTTCAGGGAAAAACTACAATAATAAACACTTTACTGAGGAATCTACCAAAAAAACTTAAAACGACATTACTGTGTTTTTTATGTATCAACCGAGTTTATTGTAAGCCGTGGAAGGATTAATGGATGCAACAGACAAAGTGTGCGACACTAATTTGACATTTTCGTTATCCAATCACTAATTTGATATAATGAGTTTTTCATCATAGTTTATAGCTACTTTAGAGTTTAGTCCAATGTGGTTTTATTATGTCATTATTATGTGCATTAAACAGACTCCGCAAACACCTGAAATTGTGGGTAAAGTGAATTGGTTTCCGAAGAAATGACCCCCCCCCCCCAATAAAGGTCTTTTTGGAGCCCGGAAAATTATTGGGAACAAAAAATGATTCCAACTTAGTGAGCAAGTTGCACTTATTCTATCCAGCTCATTTATTTATGTCTACTCTGCATCACATAAAGACTAAAATGTCTTAATAGATATTAAAAAATTAATAAGTATTAATCACATGTGAATTTTAGTTGAATTTTCTGCAGTAAAAAGTCGAGTATATAGAATTCCATTTTCCTTCACATATTTTTTCCATTTCCCTACTATTATAAGTATTCAAAATATAGCCCAAACGAAGCTATATATACATCACAAGAGAAGCACCGAAAAAATCTTAGATAGATGAATCAACACAGTAATGGAGGGATAATATATAAATGCATATGAGAGCTGCTTAAATTTGCACCTTATCGCCTAGTTTGAATGGAGGTAGACCTTTATAAGGGCATGTACCGCATCGGAAAGCATCACCTAGACCACACTGCAGAGAGAAAGACAACATACGTCATAACTATACTATAAATTAAAGGGAGAGTTCAGTATTAGACGAGAATCACTCAGTTGGGCTTGTAGTACCCAAGTGAATGATTCTCGCCTAATACTGAAATCTTCCTTTTTGTGCACAGGAGTAAGACGTTTACTCCATTCGCTAAACTAAAATGATTCGCATTTCAAGACCACTTTGTCCCTAAAAAATCAAGCTTTAAAATTTGACTTATAAGTAAAATTCATACGGAGAATAATACTAGGAGAAATGAAAAAGCATTCTTCTTTCTTCCTTTGTAGGTGAAAGCATAATAATTAATAAATATAAAAATAAACTTAGTAAGTTAGACTGGATTACGCATACTCATTTTCATGGCTTTTCTTCAGGAATAGAGGTATTCAAATTCAGCATTCATGTCTTCTATCAAACATAGCTGAATTAGAGGAAAAAATCTCAAGTTCTATATTTACCTTGTTTTCTAACCATGCAAATTTAATACTCCCTACTTCTCACTAAATTACAGCCTTTAGTCACCATACGCCAAACGCCAGTAGATATAGATAATAAATATGCTTAATATTAAATAGCATAAAAAGGTAGTTTACACTGCCGCAAGCAGACTGAGGATTGTTAATTTGTTCCGTGGTTAACCCAAGCTGCACCTTTGTCTCTGCTTCCGCTCGACCACAACTGCAGTTTTTGCAGGCTTTTCTGGTGGCCCCTACCTCACAATCACCAACTGAAAAAACATGAATTCAAATAGAATCTGGCAATTAGAATTACAAAGTTAATGAAGTGATAACTTGGACAACCATCACAATGCTTACCAGTGGGCAGTTCAGGTTTCTTCAGATCTTCTTCTGTTAGAAGGCTGTCCTCATCAATGAGATCCGTATCTTCATATATCTGAACTTTGGGTAAACTTTTTGTAACTTTTTTTATGGAAAAGGATGAACCAGTACTCCACGAAGGCCTCTTACCAGTTATCTGTTAAATATTTGTGCATATTCTAATTATAAAATTTGCAAAACTATAAGACTGAGTTTATACAAAGTCAACTGAGGCATTATAATTAGTTAGACATTAGGACCACTAAAAAAATGTAGTGTCTATATATAAAAGACCCGGCGAATGGATGTCTCTCAAAATGTGCAACAAACAAATGTACATGATAATAATAATAATAATAACAATAATAATAATAACAGTAATAATAATTAAGAAAATTGAGTTGTTTCTTTAAATAGTCACTATTTTTAGATGTAAAAATTGCAAGTTCATAATCTAGGAAGCATGGTTAGCGTAATAATGCCGTTTGGGGACGGGGGCAGATTCGCAATGGGGACGCCAGCCAACCAGTTCCCAAACGTTCTTGGGAACAGAATAAACAGAAATGAGTTGGATACAGTTGCATAATGTGAAGGGCAATTTAGATCGGGTCGGGTGGTTGACCCACCTCCCCAACTTCTTTTCCTTTTTTAGAAAACAAAAAATGGTACAATTTCCTTCCTAAATTAGGAAACACGACCAGTGCTATATGGTCTCAAACAGAGTGTCACTTAAATGGTTCTCCCCCTTTGCTTCCTTGCAGTATTGCCACTTTAGTGAAGTCCATCACAAGGACCATAGAGAACCACACTTGGCTGTTTTCTAGACTTCTTTTTTCCTAAAGTTGGACAATGGGCAGCACCAAATCTTCTAGCTTCGACGGTTAGTTATACAGTTTTAGTTTGTCTGTTTTCATAGCTTTACAGTCTGTTTGTTTATTTTTACTATTGGTTTAACTATAACGGGCTAGTGCCGGTTGCTTCTTCCATCCTTAAATACCTGTTCACTAACAAAAGAAATTTTGTTCACAGAGAACTGGCCTTTAATAAAAATCAATAAAGCAACATATAGTAAAATGGCTAAGTTGTCATCGAATCTATTTATCTTTTTCTTGTTAAGGAAGGCAACAGTCTACTCTTAAGGATGTCATCACTTTTTTTGAGAAAGTTTATACTAGAAAAGGGAAGGGGAATAATAAATAAATAGTCTGTTGTAAGTTGGAGTCAGGTGGACTATTATAAATAGGTGGTGTTATGTTTAGTTGGACAGATTGGAACTATCTGGTTAGTTGGGACTTGGGATTGGGAGTTGGAATTCTGTAACGACCTGGGAACTGTATTCCTCTTTCCGTTAAACGATAAACTCTCTCTATCGATTGTCTTCTCCATTTTTAGCCTTCTGTGAGCTTGGAATTACTATAGATTTAGCTAGAATCTATCATTTGGTGTCAGAGCTTCATTCCTGACACCTGTCCATGGTTGCTACGTGTGGATTGATGGAAGGAAAAATGGACAGTTTGGAACACGAGTTGAACACCATCGCGAAGAGTCGCTGATCAATCGGGATAAGACAAGGAACACTCGCAAAGAGTTACGGAATAAGATAGCTGAGCTTCGTGAACTGTTGATAAAGCAGAACGTTCGACAAGAGCGAGGAAGGTCAAGAACCTCAAATCGCGACAAGTGGCATGACAGTCCAACTCAGTTATACTCCAGAGGTAATTCTCGACCAGTTTCATTTAGACGGGAGGATAATAGTCGTAGACTGTTTATGAAATCTGGTAGGAAGGTGGATTTACCACTCTTTAATGGATCAGATGCTTATGGTTGGACAATAAGAATCGAAAGATTCTTTAAGCTTGTTAGAACCCTCAGATTCAATCGGTAATTTTGACGTATATTAGAGAACGATCGATGAAAAAAAAGGAAAATACAGCTTGAGACACTTAGAGCAGTCTCCTCTCCCAAGTCTATTTCCAGTCCAAAGTCTGCCTGCCCTCCCCCTCTTCTATTCCTTCTATTTATTCTTTTCCAATGAGGCTTCCCTCGATCTATCTAATTACTTGGCCCAGCCCACTATTACATTTTATTAAAATATTAATCCCATAAGTCCAGGTCTCTATCAAAGCTCAACAACATAGCTGAAGAAGATAAGGTAGAGATAGTTACCTTAGCTATGGAGGAGAAAGCCTTAAATTGGTTCCAATGGTGGGAAGAAAAGGCAGTAATGCGTAACTGGGAACAATTTAAGGCAGTTCTAGTCCGAAGATTCCAACCTGATTTGGTACACAATCCCTTTGGGCCCCTGTTGATTGTGAAACAAACTGGCAGTATCATGGAGTACAGAAAAAGGTTTGAATTAATTGTAGCCCCTTTACGACATACAGATGAGGGAATGCTTAAGGGGATATTTTTGAATGGTCTAAAAGATGAAGTAAGGGCCGAGTTGAAACTGTAACCAGCCAGGACTTTAGCTGATTTGATGGATAGGGCTTTATTGATGGGGAAAAAATTCCGGTTCTCAAAACAGGAAGAAATAGAGGAAAGAAGAGGATGGAAAGAAAAAGTAGGCAGTACATCTACATCTCAAAGATGGATTGATGGTACTAACTACTAAATGGAGATCTAATTTGAATAACCAGACTCAACCAGAGAAACTGCCACTGGAAAGAAAGGGAAGTGAAGCAGCAAAGAAACCTGTGGGGTTAAGGGTTGGTCAAAGGTTATCACTTGAGGAGCTACAAGAATTAAGCAGAAAGGGGCTGTGCTTTAAATGCGGTGAGCACCGGAGCAAGGATCACACTTGTAGAATGAAACATTTCGAGTTTGTGGTAATAGAGGACTCAGATAATGAGGAAGAAAAAGAGATACCACAGTAGGAATATTGTGTAAATGAAGCAGAGGCTGAAATCCCAACAATGCAATTATCTATCCTGAGTAAGGTAGGTATTACAACTCCTGGAACCTTCAAGGTAACAGGAATAATACAGGGTCACAGGGGTAGCAAGAAAGTGGTGGTATTAATTGATTGTCGGGCCACTCATAACTTCATATCCCCAGTTGTAGTGCAAGAAGTGGGAATACCTATTTTACAAACTCCTGGTTATAAAGTGAAGATCGAAAGTGATCAGATTAGTAATGATGGTAAATGTGAAGCTATAACTCTCAAGGTTCAACATATTACTATAACTCAGGATTTTTATACATTGGACTTGGCAGGAACTGAGATTGTGTTGGGTATGGAATGGCTTTCTGGGTTAGGGAATGTGGAATTCAACTTCAGCCAGCTCACTATCAAATGGGAGGAGAAGGGCCAGAAACAGATGCTCAAAGGAGATCCAACTTTGAGTAGATCTGAGATTTCTTTAAAAGAATAGTTAAAAATATCCATAAACAAGGAGAAGGATATTATTTGTTTAGGGCTGATTTGGTAGAAGATAAGTTTGAAACAGCACAGGGTGAAACAGAACAGGAAAATGGGTGGATCGGGGAAATATTGGAAGATTTTCAGGAAGTGCTTCAACCATCAAACAACTTACCTCCAAAGAGAGATTGTGATCATGCCATAATAATAAAGGAGGGTGCTACTATATGACTATATCAAACATCAGACCCTATAGATGCCCTCAACAACAACAACAACATCCAAGCCTTAGTCCCAAAAGATATTGGGGTCGGCTAACATGAATCGATACATGATATCACCACCAAAAGGAAAAGAAAGAAAATAAAGATAAGCTATTATAAAAAGATAATATAAAAAGAGACGAATATACATAAAAATGATAAAATAAAAAGGATACAAATAATGTTTATATATAAGAATAAAAAAACAAGGGTCCTATAGATACCCTCAATATCAAAAAAAATGAAATTGAGAAGATAGTACAGGACTTCCTGAATACTGGAATTATCAGTCCATTCAGTAGCCAGTTCTCATGGTAAGAAAAAAAGATGGAGGGTGCAGATTTCAAATCAGCTCATGATTACACACACACACATATAATATATATTGATGTACATGCAGTATATATATCTACATATATAGGTAGATATATCCGAATTTTTCCAGCCAATCCCTATTTGTTCAAACCCTAAAACATAAGATACAAACGCTAACCCTAATCCCCACCCCCTCTCCCACTTTTGCTATCTCCCCACTCTTGTTCTGATTTACAAGACTACTGAACACTCGATTTCACAACCGGATCACAACAAACACCTGTTTCACTTAACAAGTCAAGCAATGAGTCCAGCTACTTTCCCTTAGTGATCCCAAGTGTTGTTCTGACTAAGAGGTGGAAAAGGTGGGTTGGGTTTTTTGCTCAAAGGGGCGGCAATGAAGGGCGAACAGGAAAAGACAAACAATATTGATGCTTGCCGGGATATGAGTGGCATGAGGATCAGGCACGCTAACGCCGAAAGAAATTGGAGGAGTGGATGGCTGAATCTGGGGAGTGGAGGTTTGAGAAGATGGCGGGGGACTATATAATTAACAAGGCTAAGGAAATGGCTAAGAAGGGAGCGGTAGTGAAAGTAAAAATGGGGAGAGCACTGAGAAGTATGTGGCCAAGTACAGAGAGGACTTTGGCAACTTTGCTAGGTATGTGCAGGTGATTGAGAAGTCCGTGAAGGAGCCACTTCAGGAATGTCGGCTTTATAAAAGGAAAGGTCCAGATTCCAGACCTGAAAAAATCAGATGTCAAGAAGTTAAAAAATATGGAAGGGTCAGAGAAGATGAGAATTCAAGTGACAGTGATCATGATAGATGCAGAGGATGTGATTTTTCTTGTTATGGATAACGGGAGCCGTTCTGAATCATGAGTGGAAGCAAATGACAGTGGAAACTCAGCTACGTGCGGGATATTTGATATGGATAGCTCTGAGGAAGATGAGAAGGTCAACATTGTCAAAGACTGTTTTGAAGTTTGTATAATAAGTACTGAAGAGCAAACAGTTCAGGATGAATGTCAAAAGGAGACCACACTGACTCCAGAAAATAGATGCACCTAGATGCTAAAGATGTCTGATAATGAGCGTCCTACAATCCAGTCTACTTCTGTTCAGGATGCCAATGACGATTCAATCTTTAAACCTGCTGCCAAGGAAGTAGGAATTTCTGCAACAGCTCCATATAAAGATTTGATTATGCCCTTGAGTTTGATGAACTTAATTCTTCTGCAGAATTGGAGGTTCTTGGTATGTATAGGCATAGGCTTAAAGCAGAACTTCAAGATTAGGGGTTGAAGTGTAAGGGACATTGCAACTTGTACATACACAAACATAAATATACATAAATGTATATTTATACTTGTACATATATGTATACACACACAACTGTACCCACCTGATATACCCATGATGCGTCAATAAAAAGAAAGTAAAGAAAGGAAATGCAACTACAACCTATACAGAAAGATATAAAGCCAACTACTAAAGAAGCAAGAAACACTAACCCCAAACGATTGGAAGGAATCAAGAATTTGTATATCCGTGAAGCCTGCCAAAAGCAACTTCCGCTCAAGTGTAGACTTCAACTGCATTGCATAGCCAATGAGACTTAAGAGCCTTTACAGAAACAGATATGAAGGAATTGAAATGCAATAAGAGAGAGAAATAAAACTATGTAACCAACTGACCGTTGTCTCTCTATCTGAAAGAGATGTTGGCTTGAGCAAAACGGTCCCACCAAGCTTCAACACTTTCATCACATCGACAAATAACTGACCACTGGGAAACTCAGATGACTTGGGGATAACTACAACCATTTCCATTGTGGAAGAACCAACAAAAGAGATGCCTGCAATTAGTTGAGAGTAAATGTCAACAAACTAAAAAAATAAAACTAAAGATTAACACAATTTGAATTATAAACACACATCTTTACATATATATTGAGTATAGTACTTGTATGTATGTGTATATAGCATAGCCCATTCTTAAAAACATAAGAAGAAAAAGGAACAACTGAAAAACACTGAAACATGCAAATATAAATTAACAGGTTTTGACTTCATACTCATGCACCATAAAAACCACTAATGCTTGAGAAGGAACGTCCAGTAAGATAATCACACAGATCTTCAACAAATTATATATAATCTAGTACACTGGTGTCTTATCCCAAAAGTGGAACAAAACATAGTGCTATTAAATTAAACGAAACCTTTAATGTAATTTACATACTAAGGGAAAATAGTAACTATAACAAGAGAGCATAGAATCATGGGGAAGCAAATGTTATGGACTGAGTGACTGAGCACAAACTAGATTGTACAGCTTCATGAGTTATTTTTTTGGCAAAATGATCTAATAAGCTAGAATTGTTAAAATGACTTGATTAAATTATAGAGAGTGCAATTATCTAGTGACATTTTAAAATCAGCTCAATAAAGGACACTATATATATATATATATATATATATATATATATATATATATATTAGTGATGAATGTTAACAGTGCAATTTCTTTTAAGCATTTTAACTAACATGTAACTCGTGTAATATATTTCTATGATCAACAGTCAAGACATTCAGCCAAAGCATAAAAAGGACACATGGTGGAAGGAATGGCTCACATGGTGGATCGACAGTTTTTTGTTCTTACAAAGAGATACATTAACATAATATTTTGTTACACCAAAATATACTTGCAAAGATTAGTTGGAAACCAGAAGCAAGAAGGAGAACATAATATCAGATTAAAAATCAATAAAAAGTCTACTCTGAGATGAAGCATGTGTGATGATCATAGGATCCATCTTTTCAACCCCTCCCTTCTTCACCATCTCAATTGCACTCTGAACAACACTAAGTGGTACCATAACATCATCTGTGAGCACCAAAATGCTATCTTTTGTAGCTGCAGAATCCTACGGTAGGAACAATAATGTCAAGATGTGATATCAGGAATCAGGAATCCAGTCACTAAAGATAGATGCTGACACATTTTGATCATCAGAACCCCAATGTGAAATTTGCAGAATAACTAGGTAAGCAGTGAGCAAAAAAGTATAATTGCACAAGGCCTGTACTACTGTACTTACACCAAAAAATGATAAACCCCAATGCAAACAAATCTCAATGAAAAGAATTAGCATACGTGATCAAAATACTATTTGTAATATCTCTCAACAAACCCCAACGCTGATGGCATCAAACCACAAGTGGCTTCAAAATCAAAATTACTATTTACAAGTAAAGTTATTAATTTCTCATCAATGCATAAATAGTCCGGTTGTGTATCCTCCTACAGGATCCCAAGCAACTCTAACGGAACAATATAAACTACGAATTATCATAGTACATGATTGAATCTGATCATGTTGAAAACTTGAAATTTTATTCATCTACGTATTAGCTTTCATCTAACTAATTTTTGGCGGAAAATTGAATATCAAATAACAACAAGAATCTCAAAGAATGTTCTCTCCACGGAAATACAGATACAGAAGCCTTACCATTTTTTAGAGACAATTGGTCTCCAATTAGGGCTGAGAACTTAGTTAGAAGGCCGATGTAAAGTCCCGGAGCAAAGAACAGAAACCACTTGCCAATAGCCCAATATGATCCTTTTCCAGCAGCAAGCTTTGAAAGTGCTAAACCCAATTGCTGACAAATTGACAGTGTAAAATTTCCCAATTTGAAAAAACTGCTCTAAAAAAATTACCCCCAACATTTAATCGGGAAAAATTTTAATATATACAATCTCAAGCTTAGAAAAAGGTACCGACAAAAATAGGACTGGTTTCATGATTTTCCAAAAAAGTGAAGAAGAAGAAGAAGAAGAGTACAAACCTGGGTGGCTTGGTAGCTGCACGAAGTCCGCGGCGGCGGCGGCGTGGTTTGGCGGCGACGAAGTTAGCGGTGGGCGGTGAGCCGGCGATGGAATTGGAAGAGGTTGGGGTGAAGTTGACGCTTTGACGGACAAAATTTCAGAAAAAATACGGAGTGATTAAAGAGTTAATGACTCAAATCTTATCTTACTCTGTATAAAAACGAATGGAAAATTGGTCATTTTTCCGACTAAAGATACCGGTTAAAAATGGCCAATTCGGATCATTAATTACCTGCATGTTAAAAAGGAGTGTTGTACTCTGTGGTCAATGTTTCTTGAACCGAGTGCACAAAAGTAGTCTCTGAGCTTGATGGAACACTCACGCTATCACGCAAGATGTTAACGTATCAAACAAGCTTTGTGAGTAATAATAATCCCACATACTTTCCCCCATTCCTTGCAATTTTATTTGCTTCTGCGTGAGTTGGAATGGTATTTCTACAACAAAGGCGGGCAGGTCTAGGAGGTCCTAGGCAGGTAAGGAGGGCAGGTCCAGGAGGTCCTAGGCAGGTAAGGTGTTCTGTATAACCTGATTTTTTTGTCCGAGCTAGCCTACTTTTGGTCGGTTGATTACTTGATGGATGGACGGCAGTGATTCCTGGAAAAAATAATTGGTTGCTTATGGATGGACGACTATGGTTTCTGGAGAAGACGATTAGCTACATACGACTTATTATCTTCTACCAATGGGGTGGAGTTGTGAGTTATCATCGGAAACTTGCCGATTTTTGTTAAAAAAAACCTTGATTACCTAATGTCTGAAGTTGTCGTCGGCGACGACAACTGGACTCGACGGGGAGGTCACAGAGACTGATTGGGTACACTGCTTCGATTTCCTCTGACGCATGGGGTCTACACAGGAGAGGTTCGCATGGATGTGGTGGATTCAATGCGATGGCCGGGTCGGGTTTTAGGATGCGGGTTATTGGATCGGTTACGGAAATAGACCGCTGATCTGGGCCAACTGCAGGAAGCATGTGCTGAGGATGCTTGGGTATCTTCCGTGGGCTTGCACGGCCGGACTTCATTTGTTGAACATGTATTATTCTAACTGACCACTGGAATGCAAAAAATCATTGCAAGTTTGGAACATTGATCTTTAAGCATTTATCCATTGGAAGTTAGGATTGTAATTTGTAATTATGATAAATAGTTATCCATTGATTAATACGTAGAATATGCTTTGTCCAAAGATAGTCATTTTTGCATTTACAGCTTTCATAAGACCAATTTCATTACACTTGGACAAAAATAACTCTCTTTTAATTTTTAAAATTTTAGAACTGTAAAACAAAAATTTATTGAAACTCTGGCAGTAGCCCTGCCGCCACCAGAGCCACCCCCATGCAGCCACCCCTCGCCGACGCAAGCTACGGCCACTCTTCGTCGGTGCAACCTGTTGCCGCCCTCTTCGGCGATGGCGTCCCCTGTCGCTGCCTGCTGCGGAGGAGGAGGAACCAGAAGAAGAAGTTATGGTTTTCCTAGCTTTAAGGTGTTACACGTCTTAATTTTAGTTCAAGTTATGTTTACCATGCATTGGTTCGAGTTTTATGTCTTTTGGAGTCAAAACCGGGGAATTTGAACCCAGCACCGACGCTTGAGAAGCAATTGGGACGATTTAAGAAGCATTTGAGAGTGAATTGAGAGATTTTGAGGTCACCGGGAGGTTCACGATGAAGATTTGATGACAAAAGAGCTCTAGGATTGACTACGGGATCAAAATAAGACAAATAGAGCTTGAAACGGCGTTCAGGATGACCTTCTGTCAATCGTTCAAGCATATCTCCTTGTAGAAGCATCCAAAGGACACGATTCAAGTATCATCTGAAAGACAACTTCAAGGGATACAAATCTTACGAAGACACAAATTGCGAGAATCTGAGATGAAGAAGGTGAAAACAGACAATGAAATCAGATGATCCCTGTTGCGATTTCAGAATGAGACATTCCACCATTTTATTCATATCTCTTGAATGGATGATTCAAATCGGACCGGATTTATTCCACTTTTTATCTAGAACCGAACCAATTTAGCTGGTTCAAGACCAAAACCAAACCAAAAGAATCGATTGCTTTATTATTAATTTAATTTACTAAAACATACAACTAATGTGTTTAATAAAAATAGAGTATTTATTACTAATAAAATAACATTACTATTGTTGTTATTTATTTATTTACAAACATTAAAAACCGAAAATCGGATCGGATGTTGTTGAGGTGAAGTTCTGCAGATCCGAAAGCCCAACACACGCTTTGGATATTAAGGGTGTGGAAAATAAGTTGAGGATATAAGAAAATATAAAAGCTGAATAATATTATGCTCAAAAGCCCGCTTTTATTAAGCAATTCGCTGATTACACAGGAAACTTCTCATACGATACGTCGGAATAGTGATTAATACAAGAACAAGAGTGAGAAAGCTATTATAGGCCTTGAGTATCAAAATGCTAACCCTTACATTGTAATTAGTACTCTTATTTATACTAAAAAGAGGTCAATGGGGTGATGATGTGGTTGAAGCCGATTGGCTGCCATTCCCTGCTAGTTGGATGCCCATGTTTCCACTTGCTGCTGTCACTTTGTAGCAATAAATGCCCCTTGCCACTTGCCAGCTGCCCGTTCGGGCAACAGAATGATGGCCCATGCTGAAAACATTATTGATCTGGCCCAAGTACCCTGGTTGACCCGATCCTTGTTGGGGTGTAATCCTTCATGCTTCATTGGATCTCGTTCGGTACATATATCTCATTGGGCCTGTTCTTCGTCTGGATCCCTGGATAACTATTGGGTTGGATATCTGGGCCTTTGGCCCAATATCCCAACACGAGTCCCTCACTTTCGATGTCTCGAATGGTAGTGAGTGCATGAGGAAGTAGAACTTTCATGCCGAGTGTCGATCGGGATACAGATCTCGTTGGTTCCCAATGTCATGAGATAGTAGCTTGTCGCAGTTGTCGTTTGATTTTTCCCATAATCGTCATGATTACTTGTCTTTGTTCTCCCACGCGACACATGTCTTCTCAAACGTTCCTAGTGACGTGTCTCCTTCTGGTTGGTTGGTTAATGAATCGACGCCTGTCAAGCTATAAGTAGACCTTTGGTTCTCCGGTTCTGTGATTCGAATTTTCAGATCCTTCGTGCTCTTGCTCTGCCTTCTCTCTAGGACTCTCCAAGTTTCGTCTGTTCAGGTACACTTTGCCCCTTCCTTTTGCTTCTTTCACTCTGTGTTCGGACAACATGTCTTCTCGACCATCTTCTTTCGGCTCGGATTCGACGCCTGCCTTGTAACACTTGAGATTTAATTTAAATGGATTAATAGTACTACTCATACCAACAAGATGCATCTCCTTTTATGGGAGCTCATCACCCAAGAACTCCAAAGTTAAGCGTGCTTGCACGGGAGTAGTCTTGGGATGAGTGACCCCTTGGGAAATTTCTCAGGGCGCGCACGAGTGAGGACAAAGTGCGCGGAAAAGGCTAGTGGCGGTTTGTGAGGACAGTACTAGAGGTCAGAAGTAACTACCTCAGGGCCTACGGGGCTGGGGTGTTACAAATGGTATCAGAGCAACCCTGCGACAGTGTGCTGATCCGTAGGATATCGGGCAGGCACTTAGCGGGGGGAAAAGATTCTGGGATTGAATTGAGATTGGTTTATGGGCGCAACGAGGCCGTTGCATTCCTAAGTGGGGTGATTGTAACACTTGAGATTTAATTTAAATGGATTAATAGTACTACTCATACCAACAAGATGCATCTCCTTTTAAGGGAGCTCATCACCCAAGAACTCCAAAGTTAAGTGTTCTTGCATGGGAGTAGTCTTGGGATGGGTGACCCCCTGGGAAATTTCTCAGGGCGCGCACGAGTGAGGACAAAGTGCGCGGAAAAGGATAGTGGCGGTTTGTGAGGACAGTACTAGAGGTCAGAAGTAACTACCTCAGGGTCTACGGGGCTGGGGTGTTACATGCCTCTCAATAAGAAATCCATGATGTCGTTGTACAGGAAGCTATGTCTGGTGATGAACTCGCCTCAATGGCGGCTGGTCCCCCAGGCGACGTCCCTCCTTATAAGGTTGATTTACGATTAATCAGGGAGAGGTGGCGATAACTGACTTCCCACAATAGCGCTCAAATTCCAGCCCTATCTCCCGTACCCGGTGGACTTTCGTCTTCGGGCTGGGCTTCACCCAATGCGCCACCTCCTTAGGATGGTGGTGGTCCATTTAGACTCGGTGAAAGTTGGGCTTAGGTTTCCTTTGCACCCATTTTTCGTGTCCTTCTTCAATTTTTATGAGGTAGTACCGGCCCAAATCATGCCGAACTCCTATCGGGTGATGTCTGGCTTCATTTGCCGTTGTGTAGATGTCAAGGTTATGCCCAGTTTGGAGCTGTTCCATCAATTTTTTAAGGTGGCCCCTCAGCAGACCCACGGGTATTTGGATGCAACTGCCCGAACGGGACATATATTATTTAAGGGCAACCTAACTTCAATCAAAGGGACATATATTATTATGTTCAATCCCCCGTTTGCTCATCATATATCCCAATAATTTGCCTCCCTTGACTGCAAAAGCACATTTCTTGGGATTCAGTCTCATGTTCACCCTCTTCATGATTTCAAAGACTTTTTTCATGTCCTGAACATGGTCCTCTTTCTTCTTGCTTTTGATTAGGATGTCATCCACATAAGCCTCCATGGTGATTCCCAAGACTTCTTTAAATAACATACCGATCATCCTTTGGAACGTGACCATGGCATTATTCAACCCGAACGGCATGACAATGTAGCAAAATACCCCATCTGAGGTGACAAATGTTGTTTTCTCTGCATCAGCCGGGTGCATAAAGATCTAGTGATACCCTCGAAAGGTATCCATGAAGCTTAACTGCTCGCATCCGGCAGTTTCATCCACCAGCAAATCGATCGGAGGCACATGATAAGGATCCATGGGGCATGCCTTATTTAGATCAGAATAGTCAACGCACATTCTCCAAGTGGGTCCCTTCGGGGCTAGGACCACATTTGATAACCACTCCACGTGGATTACCGGTCTGATGTGCTTGATCTAGAGTAATACGACCACCTCCTGTTTTGTAAACTATCGTGGTTCGGCCGCCTGGTAGCTTTTCTTTTGCTGGATTGGTTTGACA